CTTATCAGAGGCTGCATTCAGTTTTCTATTGGCCTTCCATGAAAAAAAGATGTTCAAAGGAAGGTCCAAGAAAGTGATGTTTGTCAAAAGAACAAGTCTGACAAGACAGGGTACCAAGGTTTACTACAGCCTTTGCCAGTGCCTACCCAAGCTTGGACCCATATTTCAATGGATTTTGTAGAAGGGCTCCCTAAATTCAATGGCAAGGATGTGATATTTGTGGTCATAGATAGGTTCACTAAATATGCTCACTTCATGGCAATGTCACACCCATTCGCTGCTCCTACAGTTGCTAAAGTTTTCTTAGACCACATCTACAAACTTCATGGTCTACCTGTAAGTATCATTTCTGACAGGGACAATATTTTCACAAGTTCTTTCTGGAAGGAGTTGTTTAAACTAATGGGAGTTCAACTGCAATTCTCTTCTGCATACCACCCACAAACAGATGGCCAAACAGAGAGGGTGAACCAATGTCTTGAGAACTACCTACGGTGCATGGTACATTTGAACCCTAAGCAGTGGCAAAGGTGGTTGTCCTTAGCAGAGTTGTGGTATAACACTAACTACCACACTAGCTTAAAGACTACTCCTTTTCAGGCTCTTTATGGGTATCAACCCTTTATACTCTCAATCACATCCTATCTACAGCCTGAACAAGGAATACCAGAAGAACTTGTCCAAGACAGACAAAGAGCAATTCAAATTCTTCGAGAAAATCTAATACAAGCTCAACACAGAATGAAGGTGAATGCTGACAAGAACCGACAAGAGAAAAATTTTAAGGTGGGGGACAGTGTTTTTCTCAAATTGCAACCTTTTCGACAAAATTCAGTCTCATTGCGGAAAAATCTAAAACTTTCAGCCAGATATTATGGTCCCTACACTATTATTGAGAGGGTCGGAGAAGTTGCTTACCGTCTAGCCCTTCCACCTGGTTCTCGCATTCACCCGGTCTTTCATGTATCTCTTCTCAAGCTTAAGTTGGGGCCCGATAAGTCGACATCCTCGGATCTTCCCCTTACTGATGTCGAGGGGATCTTCAAGATCGCTCCTTTGCGAGTGTTGGAGAGGAAAACCGTGGAAAGGAAAGGAATTTCTGTTTCTAGGGTTTTGATACAGTGGTTGAATGGGGAAGAAGACACAGCAATGTGGGAGGACGAAAAATTCATCAAGAGGAAATTCCCAACTTTTGATCCTTGCGGACAAGGATCATCTCAACAGGGGGGTATTGATATGGTTGTGAAGGAAGAAGATGGAGTTAAAGGGATCGGAGATGAAGGAGACGCGACTGAAGAAGCTATGGATCACAATGGTCATGGCATAGGCGAGAATGAAGATGATGGGCCACGTGAAATGATCATACTTGGGCCGGTTCAGGAGCATGCTGAGATATCGGGCCAAGAAGTTAACATTATTTGAGTACTGTTATTAATTGTTTAGCCATTATTGGCCCAAAAACCTTATTTTACTTATTCTTGTCTTATTAGGGTATTATAGGAATTAGTTGGGAAATTATGTGGTCCCGCTAAGTTTGTTATGTAAGTGGAAACTGCACATGAATGAAATCAGAATTTTGGCATGATTATTCTCCCTCATTTCTCTACCCTCTCTCTCTCTCTAACTTCTTCTCCTTCCCACCATTTTTGTTCTAATTAGCTAAAATTACAAGTTACATCAAAAGCCATAACAATTTTAAATAAATAATATATTTTAAATTATATTAATCATAATTAGTCTACATATGACGTATGACGTTAGGTTTCAGTTTGGTTATTTTAAAGGTAGTTTTTAAATGTAAGGGAATATATTATTTTAAATAAAATATTTTTATTTCATAAGTGTAAAATATATAATGCATCAATGAAAATACAATCTATAATTTCCAACTATCATATTGTTACTAGAGATTTTTTGTTACAATATTAAAAAAATAAAGAGGAAAAATTTAGTGGATATGCAAATGCTTAAGAATGATTGAATGAAAAATAATTTTTCAACATACAAACTGCCAGTTTTTTGTGAAAAAATGTTATTCGTTAACTGAATAATAGATAAATACAAACAGATTATCTACACGAATATATAGATTTTAAATAACTTATTTTTAATTATATTATTAAGAATTAATCTACAAATGACATTATGATTCAGATTGGTTATTTTAAAGGTAGTTTCTAAATGTAAGAAAAAATATTAATTTAAATAAAATATATTTTTATTTCATAAGTGTAAAATATATAATGCACCAATGAAAATATCATTTCTAATTTCCAACTATCATATTATTACTATAGAAACTTTTTGTAATAGTATTTAAAAAAACTAAAGAGGAAAAATTTGGTGAATATGCATATGTTTAAAAATGATTGAATGAAAAATAATTCTTCATCATACAAACTGTCAATTTTTTTGTGGAAAAAAGTTATTCGTTAAGTGAAATATATATAATCTTAAAATATTTTGTTTAAATTATTCACTAAAACAATATGCATAATGCTATTTAAGTTTACCTGTTAATAATAGTATGTATAACATAATGTTCTTTTATGATAATATGTGCTACATAAATTAATATACTATCTATTTTAATTGTAAGATACATAAAAATAGAGTAATTATAAAAATTAAATAAAATAACTAAAACTCTATTTTAAATCTTGAATTTCAAAAAATGTGTACTTATTAAAAAATAGTTACAATTAAATATTCTAAATAAAAGTAAATAGTACATTTACTTTAATTTGTTGTCATTAGCCACTCTTATTTATAAAACTAACATTAATTTTGGGCACATGCACATGTTACCAAAAATAAATAAATATTATATATAAAAATCATATTTGAAACAAAATTTTACTCAATAGCATTTATAATTGAATTCAATTAAAGACCCTTAATTGAATTTTTATACTTCGATAAAAAAGAACAATAGAAATGTAAAACCATATTAATGACTTATTATATGAATATAATGAATAATCTAATTTTTATATTAATGTTGTATTTATAATAAAATTATTACCAAAGTAAAAAAATATAAAATATAAAATGGACAATGTAAATCTTATATACCACATAAATTGATCTTTTTTCAGAGAATTTATCGAACAAATGATATACATACTTTATTTATATAATAAATACGTGTACATTTAGATTAGTTCATTGATAATCTTTCACTTATAATTAAGTAATTATATTGGTATTAATATATAAGAAAAATATTTCGTCATTATTAAATATGAATATAATTTTTTTCATTTGCACAAATATGTAGGAAAATAAAGAACCATTTCATCTCAATTAATACACCTAACTAATTTTTTTTATGTATTTTACAACGCTTAAAAAACTAATTTAGAGTAAAAATTGATAAAAGATAACATAAGTTTATAAACTAACATTAATTTACATTATTAAGATGGCTTGAAA